TTTGTAGTCTATCCAGGCGGCGGAGAGGTTCCGACGGTTGCGTTTAACCATTTTACCAATGACCGCGTCGATGAGAAGCGGTTCCTTGGTTCCACGACCGCCGCCCCGACATCCATTCTGAGTACGAGACATAATCCGATTCACATTAATATGCCGGGTGATTCTCATACTCAGAATAGATGTCAGTGTCTTATAGATGGTAGGTAGACACGTAATGGGGCGGTACTTACTCGGGTCTGTGGTAACCTGATCTTTAGGAACCAAATGAGTGACCCCAGTAGTAAAGAGGCTCGGGAGCGACCTCTGATCGAGAGCCTCTTACAGTTGGAAGGCAGACATCTGGGTGTTGTGATCATACAATTACTATAGTTTATTAAATTCAAGGTTGGATGGGCTAGAATTACCAAAGTATTTTAGGACCAGCAGGTTTCCTTGGTAGTACTTTCATAAGAGATAATGAGGAATAAATAATTGAAATGAAATATTTTTTCATTTATGGAATATCTAATATTATAAGTGTTTTTCTACAAAGACCACAGCCCTTAACGGTTCCAACCCAAATATAGAAAAACCGCTCCATATTTCTAGTTATTTGGACATGTTAATTTTGTTTTTTCCTTTTTGGGAACAGACAAAAAGTCATAAGGTGCCTGGTCGCGACTGTATGCAGGATACATAAGTTCTACGTTTTTCATCATCGAAAATTCGTTTTGTGCGTTTCGTCATGGTGCAAGATGATGCGGCGTTTACGGTTATTTTTACGCAGTTCGTCAATAAATTCCGGCATACAAATGGTCATGTACCAATCACTATTCACGGTACGATAATTCTATAAAGCAACAATAGCCACGTGTCTTGTTTTATTGAAAAAAGAAACAATCATCCGCTTAGATGCACTTGTACTTGGTTGGTTTCGGCTCATCTTGAAAGACCCATACGCTCGATTGATGCTTTGTTTTGGAATCGTAGCAATAAATCCATGTTTCCCACCAAATTTGACGCTGATGAATTTGATTCGACGAAAGAATCTGGTAAGCATGGCATTGCACCAAGTGACGCGGTCCGTGTTTTGAGCCTCGGTCAAATTGTGTGGGATCCACCGTTTTGATTTATTTATTATTTGTTTGTTTAGGATTGATTGTATTTGACTCATGCCTATGTCTAAGGATGCCCGAATCCAATGGTAGTTCACATGCCTGTCTGTTTCGATCATGTGGCGCACAGCATCGATGTCTTTATTGTTTACAGCGTTGGACGGGCGATCATCGCGAGATTCGTCACGAGATTGACACGACCGCAGTTGAATTCCGCAAACCGTTCTCGCTTCAATCTGCTTTGGTGATAAAGCAGATTGAAGTGAGAACGAGGCTCTGCTAGACTGTCAAATTATACTTAAAATTGTAGAAAATCACACTATAAACATTTTTCCGAGTTAAATCCATTATAATTTAGACTCGCAATTTTTAAAATGGCGCCACAATATAAAAACAATTGACAGTTAAGTTGATGAAACAAACTGCATTCTACAGCCAAATAATTCTATTTTCTAATGTTGTAATTACTTTTTAAATATTGTTTATGTAAGTGGCCAGTTCCGGAAACTTTGAGTGTGACCTATGTATGTGTTGCAGAATTAGCGTTGGCTTACTCCAACACAATGCAGAACTGAAATCCTTTAAAACTAGTTTCGCAATGTTTTAGTGTCTTATTATTTTCATCGTCCTTTTATATATTATTTATATTATTTAAGCTTTGCCCTATTTTCTTTTGTGTAATATTTTTACTTTTTTATAATTTATTTAGTTAGCCTACATTTGCATTATGTTAAATTTATAAAATTACTCAATACTTTTATTATGGTGGTATATTTACTTATTTTCTCGTCTGATTGCGTCTATAAATAAAAATAAATATATATATTATATAATGTATATAATAAAATTACCAGAAATGAATAAATAGGACTCAGCCAGACGGAAACCCTCAGCAGGGGAAACCAAACATCCGAGGGTTAAGGTGAAAGGGAGATAAACCAGTGGATCATGTGGGTGGTATCGAGGAGAACCCCATTCTGCACTTGAGCTCAGATGTTCGGAGAGGCTGACTGGGATCATTATTTTTTAAATTCTTTTAAAGGCAAAGTAATAAGAGATTGTAAAAATTTGTTGCTGTCTACTAATTGGTACCTAGGTAATAATTCGTGACAATTACTGTGGTGTAAAACACTTTTAAAAACAAGGCACAAAGATAATTATCTCTCACGTTCGTCTTAATTGACACATTTGACACTAAAATTTGACAATTTAACCATTGTACTTTTGGCCACTGCCAGCCGTTTTTAAACTTTTACAATTTCACATTAAGTGTGAAATTGTAAAAGTTTAAAAACTGAATAAAAATTTCTAGATATCATATTCAGTTGTTTACTACGTTATTTTGGCAGTTTGTTTTGCATATGAATTTGCCTTCAGCATCTTTGCTTAATAACACTCAACCGATGTTGCAAATGTCCATGGGCTGCGGTGATCGCTTATCACCAGGTAAACCGCATGCTCGTTTGAAAAAAATAAAATAAAAAAAAGAACACCGAATTACTAAAGTAATGACTACTATGCAGCTGATCTACATTCGCGCACGCACGTATCTTTGCACGCAATATGAATACCTTCTGTTTATAGTATTAGAGCCGGATTAGTTCCATACCAATGTACGTATTATCGAGAAATAACAACTCTACTACGGATTTTACTTTTATTGTCTACTCGTTGATCTAAAGACTCGAACTTAAAGAATACACAATTACAATTGTATTCTGATATCGGATATTTATGATATGGAAGGATACATGTAAGCTTATTACAGAAGGAAAATAAATAATCATATTGCAGAATACTACTACACAACCCTTAGTTTTTAGGGTTCCGTACCCAAAGGGTAAAACGGGACCCTATAACTAAGATTTCGATGTCTGTCTATCTGTCCATCTATCCGTCTTTCACCAGGCTGCATCTCATGATAGTTAGACAGTTGGGATTTTCACAGATGATGTATTTCTATTGCCACTGTAAGAAAAAATACTAAAAAACGGAATAAAAAAATATTTTAGTGGGGCCCACATACTATATATACTATACTATATATACTAGTACTATAGATAATAGTATGGAACCCATCGTGCGCGAGGCCGACTCAAACTTGGCCGGTTTTATTATGTATATTGAATAATGTTTTCTTATATAAAAATTTACGCGAAGACTACACATGGTTAAATAAATGAATTTTACTTATTTCATCGTGTATCTTTATGTCGTTTAAATCCCAACGATTTCAATACTAAAGCATTCGTGGTCAAGGAACGAGTTGTTTTTCCTTTTATAACATATTGACACACCAATATTTTAAGCTCTTTTTACGTAGATCTAAATAAAAGAAATAAGAAAATAATTGCCAACAACCTATTTATAATAATCGATAAATTCCGTATAACAGTTTACTTAACCAACACACTATGTACTTTAGAGCATTTAAATTAACACAACATTTAAGACATTATTTTTACTTCGAAAATTTAAATTTGGTTTGTTACTAAAATATATACACAAGCAGCGAGGTTGTTTTCCTTTGATCTTCAATCATTCACGATTATGTAATTAGAAAACACGTTTAAGTTAATGATTCTTGTCACGAATGGCTTTTTCGTGAAATAATTCGTTACGCGTAATCATTGTCATAAATCATATTTCCCGTTCCATGCGCTCTTCAATGTGCTTCTCAGGTAGTGAAAATTGGAAGGACAAATAAACGTAGACACACAATGTTGATTACGATTGCCCGTGCTTGAGTCAATTTATTTTAGCCAAACTCGGATCACCAATTTGCCTTATTGTACCTCCGAGTGTTCAAAATGTAAAGTACTTCTGTTTCTAGTAGAATTAGCCGAAAGCTAATATAACATTCATTCATTATTGAATATTTTTTAAAGATACAAAAATGTTTCGAATAAACATTGAAATTTTATAAAGCTAATGTAGCGGTTGTTCCGTTTATTCCTATAGGCCATTCAAATGTTATATGATTTGAGAAATATCATTGCCATGACTCCGCCTTACACAGCTGCGCTGATCAGTACCACTACTTAAACTTAAAATAAGATGAATTAGACATTACTTAAAATCAGAGGAATTAGACATTACTTAAAATCAGAGGAATTAGACATTACTTAAAATCAGAGGAAATTGACATTATTTAAAATCAGAGGAATTAGACTTAAAACAAGATTGACAAATAACGGATTGTGTGTGGATTATTTTAAACTAGGTCCCAATTTCAGCAAATCGATTATTTTCAAATGGACCCTGATGTTGTTGGACGGTAGCTACTACAGGGTTAGGGAGATTTGTTGTGTTTATGTATAGAGAAAATTATTCAATAATTTTGTCTCATGTTCAATTACTATTAAACTAGTTAAAAGAATTGTCTGATTGTGAAAACATTTTGAATCATACTTATGATATGTATAAATAAAGATGATATGTATTAATGAAAGTACATTTCATTAAATTTAAAACGTTGGCAAAATATTATAAATGTTCTGGGTGTTAATAAATACGCTTAAGATGTAAAACGGTCCTAGCTCGTGCGTAGTATACGAATTGACCTTTTGGAGTTTAAACAGAGGCAATGCTTAATTCAAAAGCGTTATCTCGGGACAACGCCCTTGATTATTCTATGAAGTCTTTAAATTTTGTTACACTATTTGCTTTGTTTTAGGTCAATTATATAGAATAGATACACATGAAACATATACGTAACATATCCGTATTTAAGTATTTATTCTCTTAAAAATCCCATCAAAAAAGAAAATTAGTCGCGAGAAGCGGGCACTATTCTTAGTTTTCATCTCTACAGTCATGTCAATTTAAACTTAAAGAGAGATAATGAAAGATAACATCATTAAACTTAAAATCGTTCATAACGTAGATTAATTCTCAACTACTTACAGCACGATGGGTGACATACGAAGTTCGTCCTTGTAGTCTTGCACTGATTTTCGCCGGGGTATCTTCATCTTCCCTTTTCGGGTCGAACCAACCGAAAGCCGCACCCACTACTAATACGGCACCCAAAATCATCAAAGCAAGGAAACCGCCGATCGCCGCTTTCGTAGCCTGAGATATCACCATCGCCATTGTTACGGTCACTTTTCACTTCGGCCTCATCCTTTACACAAATATCTCTCCCATATCTACTCCTTTATAAATATAGTTTCCATTGCTTTCCTTTATTAACAGAAATATTCAAGAATCAGTTCATTAAAATTAAATAACAAAGAAGATTAACGTGTTCAATTTTTGAAGTATAACTTTCTGTATTCTGTCTGTGCGAAAGATTACCTGTAATATAACTGTTCTAATAGAAATACATTTATATCTTGGGATAACACGTAAGTAGCATGAACATAATATTTAGTTAATTAACTAGTTTCTTTTTAATTGATATTCCGTAGTAAAAAGTCCAGCACATCCATTCAATGAAACGAGTTTAAGAATATTTAAAATAACACATATTTTAGATCAAATAATATTCCAATCACATATATTGACTATTAGCAGTATTTTATTAAATAAAGCTCCCCAAGTATTCGACTCGGAAATTAATAATGTTATGAACACATGAGTTTCGTGCTGAGATTGAGATTCCCTGATGTTGTTAACAGGTTTGCTAATAACTGAATACCAAGCTATACACAGAGCTAACGGAAGTATTAATAATCAATTTTCAACAATGTTCAAAATCAATCAAATTTTGAATTTGAATTGTTGGGTCTTTCTTTAGGACTAGGAATAATCACAATAAATCTTATAACAAAAAAGTATACATTTAAAGTATTTTTTTTTATGTTTGTTGACCCTGCTAATGATGACAACTATTATTCCTTTTGAGTTTAATATAGTTATTCTTTTTTAATTTATAGAATTGACTATTTATAAGCTAACTTGACCCATGTTTAAATATAGTAGCGTGCATAAAATAAAACGTTTTTAATTTTATATAACGGTACTAAATCCTAACAATAAGCCATAAGCGAGTACTTAATGTCTACAGGTTTAGTCCTATACGAAGCGTATTGACAATGAATGTGAAAACAATACAATTGTATTCTATAGTAAGATACACAATGTCGGAAGTGAAAGACAGTCTATGACAGCGTAACAGGCTGCAAACGCAAAACTCCATAAGTTAATCTCAGACGTATCTGCATTGATCTTTAGTCTATCAACATTTATCATTTCTATTTATGCTAGATACCAGATGGCTCCTTAATATTTTATTTTCACACGATGCTCTTACAATATTTGCAAATAGCCAAGTAATGAAACACGATTATTTCGTGTTAAGTTTAGGAACATTATATTATCATAGCCTTAAAGGGTTATACTGACTTTGAAATGTTATATATGATTTTTTTTTAAATTGGTATGATTAGTTTATATAAACGCAAATATTATGATGTATTATTACAAATGGCGGAAATCATTATAATAATGGTGGTTCCTAGGTAAAGTTAATTAAATTGCAAAAGGGATTATACGTTACGATTTTTTGAGATTTGTTTAAAATACTTTTAACAGTCATAATAGTAGCATTAACAATATGAAATGTTCGATAAATTTTATAAATATTTTCGCTACTATACTTATTGTGTAAAAATAAAATGGTATTTTTTATTATATCCTAGAAAGAAGACCGATTAAAACTTTAAAACACGCAAGCTCTAAAAACAAGAAAAATGAGTTTGAATAAAATTAAAGTCGTGGGCAACAACTAGTATAACATAAATTATGTGCAATATACAAGACCCTTTTAAAATGCCAATAGCATTCAGTCCCAATGAATGTGTACCAAACCCTTAACGGTTTTTGTTTAATAAACAGTACAGGTTGCTGGAAATTTTCAGGCTATTAATTTCAACTTAATTACCATAAAACCTTGTCCGCTTGGTTTTACATAGATTTAATGTAGGGATATACGTTGATATCCGAGTTTTTTATTATCTAAGTTATTTCATAAGCTACATTTTTTCATTATTATAATTCTTAGGTATTTCATACAGAAACATGTATGTTTTATCTCTACATCACCTGTAGGCAAACTGGCGCCTGTATATTATAATCTGCCTATACACATTTTTTCTAAGAATGAAGAATTTATACATATTAAGGAAGGTAATCATAACTTGTTAATAGATGTTGATGTTGCACATTAATTTCAGCTTTTAGCAACATGTATAACACTTTTAAAAGGGCTGACAAAAGTTATTCCTTCCAATCTGCACATAATACAATATCCAAGCAATCGTATAGGAAGTCTTAATGACTCAGTTAAGTTAATTTTGAATATAATTTTACAGGTTTGAACGTAAAGGTTTACTTTTGGCTGTTTGAAAGTTTATATAATATTATAGCTAATATCTAATAGAGAATTAATTAATAGAGCCAACATCTGAAAACATCCTTAACTTATTACCGAATGATTCGTACAGGGCGAAACTGTGGAATTAATGTATAATTAGATAAGCAAGTATTAATATGTGTTAAAAAATAATTAAAAACCTACTTTAAAAATATAACTGTATAATATTCCAAGATAGATTTCTAAATTCGCAGTTTTAATTATTTTTAATTATTTTGCTATTTGTTTTTCCTAATCGTTTTGAAATTAAATTTACCTTAATTTTCCGTAAATCATAAATTTAATTATAATTGTTGGAATGAAACAAGGCCTTTAATATAATTATATAATGTACAATATTCCTAAAATTCAAAATGTCCTTCTTTAAGGCAAAAAACTATGATACTTATTTTAGAGCACGCATGTTTTTGTTTTATTTTTTTTAACCTCAATATGTATAGTAGTGAAAGCTTTATAATTTAGAAAGCTAGCAAATACATATACATTTAAAATTGATTATTTAAAACTTAAAAAAAAATATATATAATGTGAAATAAACTGATAGTCACAAAAATTAAATATAACTTCAACTATATCATAACAAACGATAATGCTGAAATGCCTTAAGTCTAATCGTTGCCTCGTGAAATTAAGTAATTCAAAGACGACAACGTTTTACGAGCATCTTAAAGATTTACCAATCTTCATAATGGCAGCACAATTTAGCGACGAGCATGGAGTACAAAAATGCACAAACAACAAAAAACACAATCACAGTAAATCGAAAGTTAACAGTTCGGATTATACGTCCGAGCCCGTAGCTGTACCGTTACGTATTGTGGGAAAGAATCGTTTTCAAAGAGGCGCGCCGTAGCTGGGACGTCCGATTCGCTACGGCGCCGCGGTGGCACTGGCTACGCTTATGTTACAATCCACTGCTATATTTTAGATTACCACTCCTAGCACAGATTCGACAATCAATAAATATAATTTTCTATTGATAATATAAATTACACTTAGATTGAAAAGGCTACCTTTGCCTTTTTGATTGGAGATTTAATTTTACACGTTCAGTAAAAATATACGGATTTGAGATATCGCGAAGATTGCAGGAGAAACTTTGATGTGATTCACTTAAGCCAGATACGATATGAATGGCATAAACGCGAAAACTATTCCCATGGGCTAATAATATGGGCTGACGATGGCGGTTGATATATTTGTTAATTACATTTATTTAAATATTTGAGATAGCCGAAGATGTTAAGGTTGTGTGATAAGTAATACATAATCACCGTCTTAGTGGATATATATATATATATAAATACGTTTATTTTATATTAATACATCTTTAAATATGCCCGTTATTTCGTATCGATATTACGGCTCAAAGTAAGGTAATTTAAAAGGCATGTTATGTTTATACAACAATCAAAAACGTATGATATAAATATAGAGCACCCTGTACTTTTTTACATTACACTTCATTTTGTTATTCTGCATCGTTCTTTTTTGTTAAATATAATTTGTTATAAACTTAATATGACGAAAGTATAAGTACGCATAAATATCCCAATAACTCATGTCACAAGGAAATCAAAATGAAATCTCTCCAACGTTTCCATGTTTTTTTTTTTTGTACAAATACGAATATATATGTATTCACTAGTGCTCTAGACCCAAACTACAGCAAGCAGTCGACTATTTTAAATAAAATCTCTTTGACGATTTCATATTTTAATATCACACCGGGTCCTTATGCGAAGGAACCTTTAAAGAACTTTTTCTACGTCAGGAGGCTGCCGCTAGCAGTGATAGCAGGCTGCTTGCTTTTTCATATAACTAAAATTAAAAATCCAACTTGAAATTTCTAGAGAATATTTATATTCACTTTGCAACGAACTCATTAAAAACCCAAAGTTGAGTAGCGGGGAAGTTATTATTGTAAGCAAATATGATGTGGCGAGTTTTACACATAAGAATGCCAAAGACGGAAAAAAATTCTTAGCGCATTTAAGGAGGTTAAACCGACTTTTGGAGGCGTAGAGGTTTAAACACATTGTTGATTGCGATTTGATTTTAAGTTTGTGGGGTTTTAAAACATCTATGAAAGCTAGTTACTTTTGTAATGAATTAAATTACTCAGGTAGGTCCACTCAGCCGTTTTTAATGTTGCACGAATAGGCAGGTCCGTCCGGATAAGTACCACGACCTCACAGAAGACGGCGTAAAGTAGAAGTGTTACACTTCTGCGTTTCGACTGTTGAGTGAGGTAGCCGGGGCCCAATGGTCGCATTGACCTTACGGGTGTTGCAATGCCCATGGGTGGCGCTAAACCGCCAGCTCGTTTGCCACTTTTTCACACAAAAAATCTGAATTTTTATGTCATGTTGTTTTACTAAATCAAATAAATTTTATTATAACCTATAAAAAGTTTTTTGTTGATCTTGTGCAGGTGCATAATCGCATTTGACCGTATTAAAAGATGCCATCAAATTTGCGTTGTTGTGGCTTTCTAGCTGGTTATATAGACAAAATGATTATTATGCTAGAGACAACGTTTAATATATAAATATAATAAGAGTTTAATAAATAATATATCAGACTAAATCGATATAGAACAGAAGTAAAAAATGTTCTATTGTTTATTATACACCATCATCATCATCTAAGAAATTATTATCTATTAAATGGTTAAAACTAATCGACTGAACACAAAATACCTGACGAAGAGGCT